GTACCGCCCTAACCCTGACAGACTGGATACAGTACAAGGGACAAAAAGCGGCTTGTCTCTCTCCTTGCTTAATGCTTTTGCTGTCTTCTGCTGCCATAAACTGTCACCCCTCTGCCATGAACCATCCTGCCTCGGAGCCAGCTGATTATGGACTGAAACATCTACAAATGTGAGTTAAATAAATCTGTCCTCCCTTAACTTTGGACACTGGGTATTTTGTCTCAGCAATGAGAAAAGTAACTAAGACATAATGTGATTAGTTACAGTGGTCCATCCCTGACTGAAATGTTAGGGAGAACATGACATTGCATAAATTAATACCCATGACTGTGCTTCAGTAAAACTTTATTTATAAACAACTAGTTGCACTTGGTCCATGTGCAATAGTGGTGTAGGTGTTTTTTTTTCCTGACTTCCACATTGACCTGGAGTTTTCTGTTAATGGCATTTAGGAGTTTCTAATCTTCCACACAAGACTCCCAGTGAGCATGGCTGATTGAATTCCTGTATCTCCATTATCACGAAGGCACCACTTAAATGGTGATAAAAGAATTAAAAAACACAAGCTCCTGAGAAGGGGGAAGACAGCAGACAAGGAAATTCGATACTGAGTGCAATCAAACAGCTGCAAAGGCTGGCTTAGTGAAGAGCACCTGGCTAATACCACTTGTGCTCCAAAGGCACTGTGTGAGGAAGGGTTGGTGCAGGGATCCCCGGGAGCAGCAACCTGCACCACAGAAGAGCTGGCTCCCATCCCATCCGGACACTGAGCCACCACACTGAGCTCATTTGTAAAACCCAAGGTTCTTAACGGAGTCAGGAGAGGGGCGCCAGCTCTTAACTGTAAACATTTTGTTATACAAAGAGTTTGGGGAATCCGAATAGTGCCATTTAATATCCAGTATGTTTACAACTCTAAAGGTATCTTGAAACCCTTCCCTCCAGTCTTTTGTCTATGACCCATGGGAAATATTTGTTAATATCTGCAAAGCCACTCTGAATATCCATTGGTGAGATTCTAATGTGGGAAGAAGGGGCAGAAAATTGGAAGACATGAAATGACAGGAAGGAGGCTTCTTTAAAGAACTGATTTGCATGTCTGGATCTCTGTCCATGAAGGAAGGGGAAGACGGGGGAGGCTGGTAGCTATGGTGCCTGGTGGGCTATGTGGGCATCCCACTCAACAGTCCTGATTAAACCCAGCAGACAAAGACAGCTTGTTAGGAAGCAGTGTGCAGGATAGTGACCGATGCAAACCTCAAGGGCCACAGGGGTCATATGTAACAGGCTTCACTAACTCTCCCTTCCCCAGTTGAATATTTAGAGACTCGATGAGAAAGAACATTTTGCAAAGCTGGATGATTATTTTGTGAAGAGTGACATCTTTTGTCCCTTTTCCTCTTTGTCCCACAACAGACCCTGGCTACTATATTCAAGCCCTCTGTGTTCTATTCAGAGGGAAAATATTTGGGTTTCTTGGGTTGTTACTCTTTGATTTGACTTCCTCTCCCCATAATAAATCTTCCTGTCTTCTCCTTCTCTTTGAAGTTCTTCTTTCCTGTCTCCATTCATATTTGCATTTCTTTATCCCATACACATTTCTTTCATTTTTGTGTTGGTCTGCTCTTGGAATGTCAAAGAAAAAAATCACTTCCAACACCCCAGTACCCACAGACTTTGAATTTTCCTTCCACAGTAAGTTTTCAGCGCTTTTCAACAAGAGTTCTTCATTGACCTTGAGGGTCATAATATTGATGAAGGTGATAGGCAAATGAGCTGGTCACTGATTTTGAAATAAAATTAAAATCAAATTTAGCAGTCCCAGTACAAAAAGAATATCTTTTGTTCTGTTCCCACAACAATGGCTATATTCAAACCTTGTATGCTATATTCAAAGAGAAAACAGATTAAGAGAGACAAAAATAGGAGAAACTGTGAACTGTCCCTGGTGCTGGAGCATTATCTTTGCCTTCATTTACCCCTAGATGCCACCTGTTAGGGTGGTAACTGATTCTCCAGCCTGCTGGATTTCAAATTACTGTGGGTACTGAGGGTACCTGCATACCCAGTAGCATTCTCAAGAACATCCAAAGCCAACTTGCAAGCATTTACTCTGGATTTTTATGAATAATTGTACTGAGGAAAGGCCAACTCAGCAAGATCAGAAAGAGCTGAATAGTGGACATTTATCATACCGAACCTGCAGGAAAAGCTTTGGCCATCTCACTCAAAGCCAGGGGCATAGTGGCTCAAGCAGAGCAAAAGAGTTATACTTCAAAGAAGTATCATATTATGTATAATACAAATTTCCCATGATGAGCATGATCAATACGTGTGACAAATATGTGCTGATAAAACAATAAAGTTTAAGAGAAAGAAGTAAAATTAACTGCAGTAGACTGACAATTGATGTTCAGCTTGTAACACCCAGCATGTAAACTGAGTCAGCATGGTGTTGGGCGTGAATAGCCCACCTGAGGATTGTTGCCAGCAGCATGAAAAGAAGCCCTGGAGAGGAAGAGATGCTACTGTTGGTTCTCCTGGAGAAGTTTGTCACACTGGCTTTCCTGATATGAACTTGACTATTCTCATTGTCCAAGGAGCTCAGGACCTCATGGGCACTGAGGATGGCTGTGGTTCTTTTTAGGGGAGCTCTGGTCCTTATCTTGAGCATTGTTTTCTGGCTCTAGTACAGATCCTTCAGCATGCTGGCTCAGATCCTTCATCCTGATGGCGAAGACTTTTGGCTTCCACCACTGACCTTTGGGCCTTCCCAGTACAGATCCATGAAAAAGACTCACCTGAGAAATTGTCATGGGCTCTAGGCCTTCAGCTGGACTTGTGCTGAGGATCCAGGCCCTGGATCCTTTGGGTCTCTAGTGTGTGAATAGATTTCCTTCACTCTTTTGTGTTTGAATCCTTGGGTTATTATTATAAAATAATCCTATAAATTATGTGTCCTGTATTAAATTGTTTTCCCTGAAAACTCTGATTATAGAATAACCATACCACCTTCTGTTCTTTATCACCATTTTATTCTTTATTTTTGTTGTTTGTTTGTTTATTTGTTTGTTTTTTGAGTCAGGGTCTTGCTATGTATTTTAGGCTGGTCTTAAACTTATGTTGATCCTATGCCTCAGACTCCAGAGTGCTGGGATTACAAGCATGTGCCACCAAGTCTGGCTTATTACCATTTGATTCTTGGAGCCCAATCTAGTCATATTATTTCCTGAATCCCTGGGTCTGATGCAATTTGATTTGTCAATGCGATTTCATAAATCTGGGATGTTTTATGCAAGTCATTTTTCTGTGTACTTATGTACTTGAGAAATAGACTACTTTTGTCACCAAAAATGGTTTTCAAGGTTCTATTCCAAGAGTTGCCAAGAGATCTTAGAGGTCATCCAGCCTATGTTGTCCTGGATGTCGTCTATTATGGTTTAGATTTATATGCATTTAAAAAGAAAAACAAAAGCCCCTGGGTCTGACTCAGTCTTTAGGACAGTATGATTGTGACCTAGCCCCTCTCTCCGCCCAACCTGCTTGATAAGAATCTCATTGCCAAAGTTGCTTCTCACGTCAGGCTTCTCACCTCTGAATCACTTTGTAACTCTTTGTCCTTAAGGGAGCAGCACAAATGTCCCTTCTTCAGAATCAGTATTCCTGGATCTTCATCTCACTGTTCCTTGGTTTCGGATTTTTTTCAGGATTTTTTTTTCCTTCAGAGCACCATCACATTTGTGTTTTTGTGTATGACTTTAAAACAAAAGAAAAAGAAAGGAAAACAGGGGCTGGGGGGTTAGCTGAGTGGCACAGGCACCTGCCTGGCAAGCATGAGGCTATGAGTTCAATTCCTGGTACCAAACAACAAAATAAAACAAATAAACAGAAAAACCCGAAAAAACCCACAAGGTCTTATTTAATTTCCCGGGCTGGCCTCAAACTTGTGATCCTTCTGCTTCTGCCTCTCAAATATGATAAACATATTCACTCTTCCTGCCGTGTATTGCTTTTCCATATTTATATCCTTTATTTTGGCAAAAAAGGTAGCACACTTTTATGCACAGCGTATCCAATGGCAGTGCATATTTAAATAATTAGCCTTTGGTAATTCTTATGAGTCTTTGTACTATATTAAACCCATTTTAATGATTTTCATCTGCTTAGATCTTCAGACAGCTTCCCATTAATCCAAACTAATATTCGCAGTTTGCTTAGATAGCTAGAACTTAGCTTTTATAGCTTCTGTTTTTGGCCATCTTCATTTAAACTAACTCCTATCCCCTTAAAAAATAAGGAAATATGCATTTTGAATAATAAATATGCTACCATTGATTTTTGCTATTGGTTTCTCTTGCATCAGAGTCAGTACTGAAAAGTTATAATGTGATGGCAACTTCTATTTGTGTTTGAATTCAGTTTATTCTTCTAGTTTCAAATTCTAGTAATTTCTCACATGGTCTTTTGCTCTTTCCATTGGGCAAAACTATTGGTAATAAGAGTAGCTAATAACAGAACCTTTATGCTGTATAGTGAATATTTACTGAATAAATGAATGAATAACTTATTTAATCCTAATGAAAAGTCCACTGTATCATTGTCAGTATCCTCATTTTATGAAAGATTTTTAAAAAGACTCAGAAAGTCAAGTCATCTTCCAGTAGTGGCAGAGTTAGGACTTGACCAGACTTATGATCATGTCACAAACTCTCTATGCACCCGAGCCTTCTGGGAGACACCGTTCTCAGCCCCACCTCCATGCCTTTGTCCGTGCTGTTGCCCTCTGGGTGCCCTAGGCTCCCCATGTCTGGGCACACCATTTGCTGAGGCTACATTAAATCTTACCTCCTGTTTCCTCAGTGATTCTCTTCACCTCACATATTCCTAATACCTCTTCAAGTTGTAGCACTATTGGTGTGTCTTTTTATGTTTTGTCCAGCCAACCCAGTGCTCGATTCTTGGTGAATTCCCAAAGCATTTTAACAACGATGATGCTTGACTCACTTCAGCAGTACATATACTAACATTGGAACGGTACAGAAAAGATTCATGTAGCCCCAGCACAAGGGTGTACGGAAATTCATGAAGCAGTCTATATTTTTACACTGGCATACAACTGTAATCCCAGCACTCAGGAGATTGAGACAGAAAGATCACTGCTTTTGAAACTGGCCTGGGCTACAAAGGAAGTTCAAGGTCAGGCAGCCTGCATAGCAAAATGGTCTCAAAAAGACCAAAAAAAAAAAATTGGCAACCTTAGACCTTTCCTTGGGGTAGGACTAGAACAACAAATTAAATCAAACTTCTCCAGACTTTAACACCTGGCTGTATTGCTACAGCAGCTACACTAAGGAAAAATAGCATTTTTAGGATTCATGCTCTAAGAGTATAACTGACCATATGAAAATACCTTCCTCAAAAACTTTCAGTCATACAAGTATCATGTTGATTGTATTTTTCTTAGGACTAGAAATATGTTCTAAAGTTAACATCCAAATTCATAGTATAGTCCAGAATTAACTGCACAGAATTAATTGCTTTCTATTCAGGGAAACCTTATTTAACAAGACGCCATCTTTCTCATGTCAGCCCCATGATTGTGAATTCAACTTAGACTAGATGGTGGGTATCTTTGGAAAGTTAGGGTTGATTAACACTTGTTAAAGTCCTTCTCTGATAAGAGCTTTAAAGAGTTTGATACAATTAATATTTGCTATTTGAAGGTGCCATTCATCCTGCATCAAGCTATCTGACATAACCAATTCTCCTATCACTCTCCAAAGAGTGCTCTCTTGAGGTGGCTGGGGGACAGGCATATTTTAACTCAGAGCTGCCAACTGGAGGGAGCAACGAGATAGATAAGTCATATGTAGACCATCTTAGGCTTGACCTTCCTCAGAGAAAAAAAATGTAAACAGGCTCATTTTCATAGAATAGAATCTAATAATAAAATTTCCAAAAATTTTCTGTCCCCCAAGTCTGGTTGCTGTTATACATTTTGCAGAATTGGAAAGTAATTGATAGCACATGGAATGGTACCTGCAGGGGATCATAACTTGCCTGCCTTATTTGCCTCTGCACAATTTTTGATAAATCTCTGCTGGGGAAAGCCAAATGTTTATCTATAACACATGGGCTTCCACTGACTCAGTATGGCCACAAAGTGACTCTGTGTCATTGCCAGAAATCAGCTGCACTAGCATCATACCAAAAAAGTGTGTATTTAATTTAAAATTCATATAAATTCCAGATTTACTTTCATCTCTACAAACTCTGCAGTCTCCGATGAAAACATTCCAAATTTATTTCTGATTGTGTTGATATTGACTGTTTTACATCCTTTATTGTTTGGACATCTAATTTGTGTTTGTCAAGCACCAAGAAAGGTAGGAAAATATTGAGTTCTTCCAAATGATATTTCCTATAGGGCTTTTATGACTGGATAAGGACATCAGCTTCCCCTTCCCAGCGCTGAGTCCCATTCAGTGTGGTTGGAGCATGGATTTTTTCTAGTGGATACCAAAGCTTTATTGGAAAAGTAAAAACTGTGTATTACAGACATTTAAGTAAGTTTCATCATTTGTATTTTAATTATTCCTACCTCAGGGCATTAGTTGCTAAATTTCTGGAAATATTACAGCCAACATTGAAACTAATCCAAAAATATAAACAACATTGCCTCAATAACCTTTTCTGCAACTCTAGGCAGTCAGTCATCTAATCAGAAATGATTCCAGTTGGAGTCCTATTTATAAGAGTTTTTCCTCAACTGTTGTATAATCAGATTCAGATGCATCTTTTTCACAATGAATATGACAATTACATTTTCAAATTTATGCATAAGGATGGCTGAGCATGGTGGCACATGCCTGTAATTCTAGCACTTGGGAGGCTGAAGTAGGAGGATCTCCATGAGTTCAAGGCCAGCACAAACTACACAGAAAGACAATGTCTAAAATACACAGACATGCACACACACACACACACACACACACACACACACACACACACACTTAGACATAAGGATAAGAAAATAATTATTTGAGAATATATGACCATTCCTCAACAAACTAAACATAAAATTACATATGACCCAACAATTCTATTCTTAGGTATAGATAAGTAGGTAGGCAGACAGACTGATGAAGAATATCCCAAAAAAGTACTCAAACAAAAAACTTGTACATAAATATTCATGGCAGCATTATTTGCAATAAATAAGAGTTGGAAACAGCCCAAATGTCCTTCAGTGAATGAATGGATAAGCAAACTATAGGGAATCCACTTCTATCTGTTATGGTTTTTATTTGGATGTCCCCCAAACACTTATGAAGTCATAGGGGCAGATGTCTTGAATCTGTGATTGATTCATGGTCCAATGTTGGGATTATGGGTATGAGTGCATACATATAATATAAGGGACAGAAAAAGTCTTCTCTCCACATTCCTCCCTTTTTGCTGTGCTTGCTTTTGCTGTCTTCTTGCCACCATGAACTGTTGCTCTCTGCCATGTGCCACTCTGCCTTGGAGCCAGCTGATTATAGACTGAAACCTCCACAAACTGTGAGCTAAACAAACCTTTCATTCTTTCATTTTGGGCATTGGGTATTTTTTCTCAGCAACAAGAGAAAAATAACAAAGACAGAATTTAGTACTAATAGTTAGATCATTGCTGTGACTGTACCTGACCATGTGGTACAAAAGGCTTTGAGAATAGTTTGTGGGGAGAGTTTGGAAAGGCTCTAAGTTGTTGTCTGATAGAGTAGACAACAACTACTGTTTTGGTCCCAATCTAGAACATGTTAGGCTGTTCTGTATGGGAGATTCTGGTCAGAGCTCAGAAGACCAGAATGCTGATAGAAATCTTACCACTAAAGACCAGGCTCAGGAGGTTTCCACTGGGAAAGACTGCATTGGTTGTTGAGAGTCTAGATGATGTATGTTATGGTTTGGCAGGAAGTTTGTCTGCATTTTTCTCATGTCCAGAGACTTTGCCTGAGACTGAGATTAAAGGCAGCAGACTAATTAAACTGGTAGAAAAAACTTCAGGCAGTAAAATGTTGAGGTGGTGGCATGGCTATTGTTGGGGCATGGCTTTTACCCAGATTTATGTTGAGAGTATGTACAGAGTTCAGCAGAATGTTTTAAAATGTTGTGAGCTTGGCCAGAAAGGAACTTCCAGTAAAGCTGCGGACTGTAAAGATGGAGCTGAGATCTCTATTGTTAAGAAGGAATAGGAGAATAGAAAAGATGATCTGAAGGCATCACAAGCAGCAGAGTCTTCACTCTATGCAGCCTCAAAACTGCAAAAGTGAAAGGTTTGCTTTGAGGAGAAAGCCGCAGAGCAACATGTTGCAGAATGGTGGTGGCCTCACCATGTTCAAAAATGATGGCAGCCACACCAGGTTCTGAAATGGCAGTTCCTCAGAACTGAATGCAGACAATTGACCCCTACAGCCAAGAGAAAAGAGAGCCTGACTACTGCTCCAGCCGACAGCAGACATTGACATCATTCATAAGGCACTAGTTCTAGGTGCGTGCAGAATACAAGACTCCTGAGGTTAAGAAGGCTTCTACCACATTTCAGAAAAAGGCCTGGGGGCCAGAAAGTGTGCCCCTTATAGGTCAATGTGTAAAGTCAAAGGTATAGTGGAAATCTCAGAATTTTGGAGAAGCCAGGAACACGGATTGTCTGAGGAACTGTGCAAGGAGGGAACAGAGTAGGTCCAAGAGAGAAGCCATGAGAGCTACAACCACTGGAAGGGCCACAGCAGTGGTCATGCAAACCCTTTGGCACTCACAACTTGCTGCAGATTGCTTCAAATGTTCCTTATGGAAATACAGGACCTAATGTTTACTCTCCTGGATTTTGAACTTGTTTTGGTCCCAATGTTCTGTATCTTCCTGTTTGTACCCTTTGGAATGATAAACTTTATCTTGTTCTATTGAGTGTTGGAAGTATTTAACTTTCTTTTTATTTGTGCAAGGGCTCATAGGTAAGAGATTCAGGACTTGGACTTTTCAGCAAGGCTAAAACTGTTAGGACTTTGGCAACTCTTAGAGTGGAAAGTCTTGGAGTGTCTTTTGTATAAAGCATATGTAAGTGTCTTTGGGGGTTGGGGTGGAATATTATGGTTTGTGTCAGGATGCTCCCACTAAGACTCATGCAGTCATGAGCATAGACTTCTAGAATGTGTGATTGATTCATGGTCCAATGCTGGTATTATGGGCATGGCCTACATACAATATAAGGGACAGAAAGAGTTCTTTCCACACTCCTTTCTTTTTGCTCTTGTTGCTTTTGCTGTCTTCTTGCCACCATGAACTGTTGCCCTTTGCCATGTGCCAGTTTGCCTTGGAGCCAGCTGACCATGGTTATAGACTGAAACCTCCACAAACTGAACTAAACAAACCTTTCTTTCCTTCACTTTGGACATTGGGTATTTTGTCTCATCAACAAGAGAAAAGTAACCAACACATTATCTATATATTAGAATAGTATTCAGACAAGAAAAGGAATAAAATGCTCTTCCATCTGATCACATGGATGATTCTCAAAATACAATGCTAAGTAAAAGAAGCCAAACACAAAAGACACATGTTATATGAGAATACATAAATCTAAAGAGATGAAATATAGATTTGTGGTTGCAAAACCCTTTAAGATAGTAATTGTTTAATGGTATAGAGTTTCCATTTGTAGTAATGAAATAGTCCTGGAAGTAGACATAGTTGTATACTTTAAAATAATTAAAATGCTAATTTTGTGTTTAGGTATTCTTTTAAAATAAAAGATTTAAATGCATTTCTTCGTTCTTAAAACTATGCACTTAATAAGCAGCATCTGTTCTACAGTAAACACTACAAGCCAGGTTGACCCTTGTGTGCTAGCACTAGCAATAAGCATTATGTTTTAGGTAGTATTTTAAATTCTTTACTTTGTAAGGTAGGTATTAGTATCTACAAATTACAAAAGAGGAAATGAAATACTGAAAATATAACTGACAGGTGGGAGAACTGAGACTGGGACTCAGATTTAGAGTCTGTGTCATAAATCACTATCCCACAAGATGAGCGAACCTTATCCTGCTACTGTACAGCT